GTTTTCAACCAATGAACAGTGTTGCGTCAATGTGTTATCAGAAATGATCCAAAATCACCTTTAGCCAAAATTTAGAAATGCTTTAAACCATTTTTCAAACTTTAATTGTCTGAACAAACCATTTTGTACTAAATGCAGCGTCCATTAAAAGCTGCAGTTCTCTTCCTAGCACCAGTTTCAACTGTGCATGTGACTGTTTTTAAATGAGAAACGAGCCACGGTTCAGAGGTTGAAAACACTGCTTTAAATATCCGTATTACCAAGATCATGCAGTCAAAATCAATAATTCTAAACTTCTCCGCGTCTATAACTTTAAATAATAATACTAGTTTCAATAATAGAGCTCCTCTACTTTAAATATACTGCTGTTCTAATCTCCTTGTGTCTCATGCTAAAGCAAGAGTCTAATTAATTTTAACGAATGTCCTGTATTCTTTCATGCAGCTAAATGTGGTGTTATGAACGAATGACCTAGCTAAATGTGTAAATATGACTTAATATGTCTCTGTGCGTTTGTTGCCTGTCTGTATATTTACCTTCTGTGTGTCTCATTTAGGCCAGCCACGTCTCAAATGTCCGTTAATGTCTTTCTTTTACTCATGGCGTCTTTCAATGTCTTTTGTCTCAAAGTGTCCCAATGTCTTTGCCTCAATGCCTTTTTTCTTCTTCTTTAAATCACTTTCTTCTCCTTGCAATGTCTTTTTCTTTTCAATCATTTTTTGACGCACACCAGTGTGTGCCTTCTTCTTCTTGTTAGGTTTACACAACGTTCTTCTCCGTGCACATAACTCCACTCGGTTTGTGCAAAAGTCTGGTTTTTCTCCATGAAATGGAGACCGGAGAGGTCTTCTTCGAGAGTTCCTGTTAGCTGCTGCAGCCGATGCTGCTGTCTTTGGTGCCCCCTGTGGGTCTGGGGGAGACGCTGATGGTCCGTGCTGATGGCGCCCGATTGTGGTTTGTGGCAGAGACGATTTTGGCCAAATGAAACAGACAGAAGTTTTCTCGGAAAAAACAGACAAACAAGAAGCACAAACAAGTGTGTTAATTACCATACAAAACCAATGATTAATTACAAATCTAAATAACCCGATTAAATAATTAATATTAACATTTTAAACATTAAATTCTGAAAACCAAATCTGCATTCAACTGCTATCCTAAGCCCTATTTTTCCAAAAGTATAATGCTCTCTAAGATCATTCTAACTTTTATATCACCAAAATGTAGGGAAAAAAACTTGTCTAGACGCCTTGGAGATAAAAAATAAAAAATAAAATAATGCCTCTTTATAATCTAACTCAAAGTTCTGTGATCCTATGACTCCATGTCAGTAACATTATCGTGTGTATAAATGTAATTTTCTACAAAAAATGTCTTTCTTCACGAGAGAGAGAAAGACAGAGAGAGAGAGAGAGAGAGAGAGAGAGAAGACAGAACGAGGGAGGGGAGGGGCTTCTCGAACAAAGGAACACATGGATGATTGAAATACACCCCTTCTTTGCTACATTTTCCTCGTTTTTATCGTGATATGGTCTTAATCAGTGGTAAAAGTTTTTCTCACGTCAAACGACACTTTACATTTTATCCTTAAATACGTCAGTAATGGAAAACATTACAATTTGCTTACATGACCAATGCATCACTAGGTACAGACGGATCTTTTTTTTTCGTAATACCTCTGTAACTATTGAAACATTACATCACAATACAAGAGAAAAACTCCCAGACTGATCTTTTGTCATTTCTTCACATGAAAACTCATAGTTACAGCCAAGTGGCTCCCTTTTTTCTCATTAATCAGATCATTATTATCAGAATCCACATTTTAAATACTTGGCTTTTTTCTGTTTAAATGTACCCTTTTTCCTATAACTTCTGACCCTAACTGTCCCTATTTCTCTAATTCTATTCCTACTTTTTCACTAATTCCCTTGTGCCTCTCTGCACGAAGGTGTGCCTCTTTTGCACTCTAAACGGTGGACTTCCCTTTTTCATCATCTATGTTCTGTTTTATTTTAGGAGGGACCAATTATTCCCCCAAGGCTAAAAACGTCTAAACCTGACTATTGTTCTATCGCGTCCGATAGAACGCCCCGTCACGGCGGTCTCGTCCACACTGCAATCTGTCGAGCCAAAATCTCTCTCTCTCTTCTATTTAAAACAATGTGCAGATTTTCAAAACTGTGATCCGCTTACCTTAGAAGCGACCTTTTTGAAGAGCAGAGAGATTTTTCCAAACCCACAAATCCAGTCTCTATAACTGAGCTCATCTTGCGTCTTCTTTCTGTATCAAATCACGTCTCGGGTCACCAAATGAAGCCAATAATTCCCTTTGGCTGGCGTGTCCACAATTTGATACAAAAATCAGACAAAAAGATTCTCAAAGGTTAACATCTGCATTTAATTTTCTTTACAATCAGACACAGAAATCAACAAAAGAGTGCTCCTATAACTAATATGTCCCTCTCCTGGCCCTCGGCTGATCCTTCTGTTTCTCCCCAAGCCAGAGCATATATAAAGAACAGGAAGGAGGGGAGTGTCCTATCAGCCAGCTTCCGGTCTAGGGTCCAGCCTTTTCCTCCGTCTGCCAGACTCCTGATGGAGTGAGGTTGAAAAGTGCAGAAGTCAGCAGGCCAAGACTAGGGGGGTGAAATACAAACAGCAGAATCCATCTGTTGTCCAGTTGCTGGCACAAGAAGACACCTAAAAATAAAATAAGAAGGACTGGCCTCCCACTTAGAGGTCGTTTAGGTCATAAAACACATGGTTTTAGAATGTCACGTATTTATAAATACAACAGTACTAATGTAATGTGAAGTCTTAATATTAATTGCTACATTAACCTAAACGTTTTGATTTTACACTGTACACCTGTACAGCTATTATCTTATACTATTTTAAAACACTAATATGATTATTTTGCAAAGCTATGTATAATTTCTGTTAAATTTGCATCTTAGTGGAACATATAGCTAATAAATCTCACTATCGGACTCCATCTCGTCCTCTTCTTCTAGACAGTAGTTTACACTCATCATTAGCGGCATTGTGTTAATATACTGTTTGGAAATTGCAGCTGCAATCAAACGCTCAATCAGATGTCTAAGGCATGGAACTACACAACATCCTCCCAGGATTAAAACTGTGAACACAATTAGGCAAGTGCTTAAAATTGACATTATTATGGGGGTCAAGGATCCGAATAGACTATTGAACCAGGCTATCCAAGTGCTATCTTGTGTTCCTGAGTTCTTTGTGACTTCCTCGGACAAGAGTCTAAGGTTATTTATGGCTCTGGAGATGCTACCGTCTGGCGCAGTATTATTGGGAATAAACGTACAGCATTTGTCTTGGAAAAAATGGCACACTCCCGAGCTACTTGCTAGAATCATGTCTAGGGCTAATCTATTTTGCCAGGCCATCAATGAGGTTGGTGCCAATTGCTCTGAAATGCTCTCAAGTGCGCCAATTGTATAGTTGATGAATCTCTGTTGGTTGTAATATATGTAATTGATCCAGGCTACATTCATGTTGGAGGTGGGCCAGCTAAACAAGATTGAGGCTAGTCCCCTAGTTATTTCGTTTTGAGCCTTGAATTCATCTGGCACACCTACAGGAACCCCGGCCCAATTTAACCATACTCCCTTGTCAAATGAGCCCAAAGGCCTGTCTGTCTCTCCGAGGGGCAATACACTACGTTTGCTACGTGGATAAGAATCAAGCAATTTAGTTTTAAGCATGGGTTCTGACTCGTCTATGAGTGACATTGGAGCTAGAATGAATGGAACGATGAGGGAAACGACAGCACACTGTCCTTTCCATGATTTTGGCAGAATAGCTCTTAAAGTTAGATCACCACACAGCCACCACAGGTCAGCCCTTGGAAGACACTGTTGGAATAGGGCTTGACGATAGTTATCTATACTAGCAGCTTTAGTTATAGTATCACAGTAACCATGGGGGAAGATTCCTAAGTGGATGGCAGAAGCACTACTATCTCTGTTTGTGATGCAATGATAACCATTGGTTTCAACTGTGTGTGTGAATGGGACGTCCTTCTGGGAAATAATGGGATACATTTTAGTCAAATGTGTGCAATCTGGATCATTTTTGGGTGAGACCGAGAACATTGAAAATACACATCTATTTGAGTCTGTGGTATTTGGGAAAGGTGTAGCGGTCAATTGAGGTCTGGCTGCAGCACACGCAAAGCAGGACTCATTCGTCAATGAGTGCGCAGTATACTGAAGCCATTTAAGCCATAAGTTCATATTTATGTCTGTGCCAATCTCTATCTTAATTACATCCTCAAGTGAGAGTTCTGAGAGGTATTTTGGCCTTTCTTTACTTTCCATTTTGAGTTTAGCTAGGTCTACAGGTTTTATGGTTGGTTTTGGTTTGTCCGTGACTTGGATAGTTAGAAGTCCCATTTTTTGGTTTCTAGGGGAGATGTAAGATCCAAATACATATGTACCATTATCAGATTTACTGGGGTTTTTGAGAGTAATGATTACAGGGTCACATATATCTCCAGGTGCTTCTTTAGCCTTAATGATAGATAGCCTATGTTTTAGGTCACTTTGAGAATGGTAGCCCCAATCAGTTCCGGTATTAGCAATTGTATAAGCCCAAGATTCACAATTACAACCACGAGAGATTCCTGAACTGCCCCATACGCCTCTTGCAATGTAGCATGCATTGGTAGTTATACATAAAAACTTTTCATATTGTTTGTATTCACAGGGATTTGAACATGAGTGAATTTGGCAAGAATCTAATAAAACCGTGCATTGTTTCCTACCTGACAAACCATTTTAACTGTTGGTGCTCTGTCCCCAGGACTAAAATGTCCGATGCTCCTGCCTGCTCTCTGTCTCATACCTTGTGAAGTTATTGCATTTGGCAGATCAAGAGTTGTGATCCCGCTTGCAGCTGTGGTCACAGTTGGTTTTTCAGTCTGCTGGTTCTCGTATGGCAAATCGCGGTGTCCAACAGGTTGTTCAACAGATATCCAGCAAACTAGGGACACACACAAAAAAGAAAACATCATGAGTACATATTTCCATTTAAAACTCATCAAAGGTGGGGTTTTAATCACAAAAACATTACTTCCCCCGTTTTTCCAACTCTCCAGGGTCCCCTGAGAGTGCGTCCGGGGTCTCGGTTGATCGGTCATCAGTTGAGGTTGTATTTCGAGCGACGTCATCTTGGACCTCTGCCAGGGTGCGTTCCGTCTGGTCACTCGGGCTGCGAATGCAGTGTTCAAGATGGTACCAGTACTTCACACCGGCTCGATCGACCTGAACAGACCTCCCTGTGCAATTAGTCACTTTATATGGTCCTGTCTGGTATGGCTGAGTCCATTTGGATCTATTCTGAACTTTGATGAATATCCAATCACCAGGTTTAACAATGGGGTCAATCCATCTGTTTGTCTCAATTGGTTAGTTTGTCGTCTGCACTCGGACAACTGGGAAACAATTGTCCTGAGCTCAGACAAATATTGCTGGTGGATCCAGTCCCATTCGACAAAGGGGGCTTCAGCATTGAGTGGACCAATCGGCCTGTGCATTTCTCTCCCAGTCAATAACATGTGTGGAGAGTAACTTGTTGACTTGTTCACGCTATTCCTGATGTCCATCAGCACAAGAGGAAGAGCAGTGACCCAGTCAAGTTTTGAAGTCTGCCAAACCTTAGCTAGCTTACGTTTGATGGTTGCATTCATGCGTTCAACTTGACCCTGAGATTTTGGATGGTAAACACAACCAAATTTTTGTGAAATCCCGAGAGTTTTCAACACGTCACGCACAATCTTAGCTGTAAAATGTCTGCCATTATCAGATCTGATCTGATAAGGGGCAGCCGAATCTACAGATTACATCACGCATTAGATGTTTTACAACTTCTGCCGCGGTTTCGGTTCGACACGGAAAGGCTTCTACCCACTTAGTATATTCGCAAACGATAACTAAAAGATATCGAAAACCTCTAACACGCCTGTCAGGACCCATGTCTGTAAAGTCCATGACAATTTTTTCAAAGGGCGAATTGGGCATGATGAAAGTGCCAGGTGGGGGTTTGCAAGTCTTCTTGGGATTCATGGTTTGGCAAGTGTGGCAATTGTTGATTCGATATTGAAGCATTTCTTTCATATTTGGATGCCACCATGGTTCCATGAGACGAATCATAGAGTTGACGCTTCTGTGCAGCGGGCTGTGGTATTCTTCAAACAACATTTGTATAAGTGCGGCGGGTGCCGCAATACGACCATCGTGGTTTCTCCAGAGGCCTTCTTCTCCTTTTGTTGCTCCTTTTAGTTTCCATTGATGTTGTTCATATGCCCCAGCTGCGTTTTGAAGTTCTTTCACATATTGGAGATCGATTAAATGTGATTGTGTGTTCAACTCTTGATTTTTTGTCTTCTTCTTCTTCTTCTTTGATTCTTTGGTCTGTTCTTTGTCTTCTTGAGCGTTTTGGTTTCCTCTTCTTCTTGAACTTTTTTGGGTTTTTCTTTGTCTTGAGCTTTTTGAGTTTCCTCTTCTTCTTGAACTTCTTTGGGTTTTTCTGGTTTCTGTTGTACGATCATTGTTCTTTTCATGTAGTTGGCAGCCTTTTTTGCAGCTTGGTCTGCAGCTTGGTTTCCTTTGGAGATCATGTCTCTCCTTGTGTATGTGCTCTGCATTTCATGATGGCCAGTTTGCTTGGTAGGTTCACTGCATCAATCAGATGTCTCACAAGAACTTCATGTTTTACCGGCAGTCCATTTATCAGTTTGAAGCCATTTCTTATCCATCCAGGAATTGAGATTGTCAATGTCCTGTAAGCATATGCCGAGTCGGTATAGATGTTCGCAGTCCGTCCACTGGCGAGTTGTAGTGCTCGCAGCAGACCTGTAAGTTCAGCCACTTGAGCAGATCCTTGCTCCACTTGTCTTGCTTCCAATACTCTGTGCTCTCCATTTTCCTTTTGTGAGACGACAGCGTATGATGAGATGGTTTCTCCAGTTTGCGCTCTGTATGAGCAGCCATCGCAGAAGAGTGTCATTTCAGCATTTGGAATTGGCTCAAATTGAAGATCAGCTCTTACATATAGTTCAGTCTTCGCCAGTTCTTCACAGATATGGTCCGTGCTGTTGCTTTCAGAGTCATTGATCATATGCATGGCCATGTTGATGTTTCCGCTGGCATAGGTGATGTGAGGTTGACGAAGCGTCTGAGTGATGTTGGCAGTTCTTTGGGCTGTGGTGATGAACAGTTTTGAGTTCAAGTATGCTTGGATCCCATGGTTTGTGTGTACCACAAGAGGGTGGTTTTGGACCAGATGTGCTGTCTTCATGATTGTTTTGGTCAATGCTGCCAGATATCTTGCACATCCAGGTTGGGCTTGGTCGTGTGGATCAAGTTTGCAAGAGTAGTGTTTCAGAACTCTTCTTTCTCCTTTTTTCTTCTGATACAATATTCCATAGACATAGAATTGTGATTCAGCCACATCAAGATGAAACGGCAGTGTGTAGTCTGGCACATACAGTGCACAGGCGTTACAGACGGCTTGCTTTGTTCTTGTAAAGGAGTTTTCTGCTTCCGTGGTCCAAGTTAAACTTGCAGTTGGTTGGTTCATGCCATGGGGTTTGATCAGTTCTCTTAGAGGTGCATTCATTGCGGTATAGTTGGGTACATATTCTCGACTGTAGTTGCAAAGTCCGAGAAAACTCAGCATTTGTCGCACCGTTTGTGGTTTTGGTGTCTTCAGAATTGCATCTTTGTTGGAGTCTGAGACTCCCTTCCAACTGCAGAAACCTCTCTTCCCAAGAAGTACACAGATCTTCGGCACATTTGGATTTTCTCCCGCTTCACTTTATAGCCTTTTCTTGCCAGGTGTGTGAGCAGATCAGTGGATGCTTGTAAAACGGACCTTGCATCTGGTCCTGAAATAGCCAGATCATCCACATATTGTATGAGAGTGCACTTCTCAGGAAGGTTAAACTCAGCCAGATCCAGACGTAGGAAATGGTTGAAGTACCCGGGGGACAGTTTCCATCCTTGGGGCATCCGACAGTAAGTGTATTGTCTCCCCTTCACGGTGAAGGAAAAGTACTTCTGAGATTCTGGATGCAGTTTGATTGTGAAGAAGGCGTTGGCCAGATCAATTACTGTGAAGTACTTGTCGTTCGGAGAAAGGTTGTTCAGTGCGATGTATGGGTCTGGAACAGGGTACGATTCATCAGCTGTTACTTCATTTAGGGGTCTGAAGTCTTGGACCATGCGCCAGTTCTTCAAATCTGACTTCTTCACTGGAAATAGTGGGGTGTTATACTCTGATGTAGTTCCTCTTATAACACCTGCTTTCAACAGTCCTTCAATGGTTTGTGCGATCCCTTGCACTTGTTCTTGTTTCAAGGGGTATTGTGCTCTGTATACTGGAGTGTCAGTTGTCAGTTTGACTTTCACAACATGCGATGTGCATCCCACATCATTGGCATGTGTCATCCATATGTTAGCTGGGACTGCATCCAAGTATCGTTGAGCGTCTGGGTGATTTTCAAAAGTTCTGTGACGCGATTCCTTCAAAGCTCTGGTTATGTCCGTTGACCCGTCTGGCAGTGTGATCCTGAAAATGCCATGTTGTCCATTGTAGGACACTCCAGGGTTGTCGGTTGGTGCATATATCAAAGTGTTTGCCAACTTCACCATTGATCCAAGGGACTTTGCAGTATGGTACTTCGACATAATAGGCCTCGTGTTGACTATAGGCTTCACTTCATCTGGAAGAGTCACAGACAGGGCCATGCCTTTGGGACCACAGTAGATGTATGGGTATGTTACATGGAATGTTTGCCCTTGCACATTGTCCCACAATTCTTCATAACTCTCATCTTCTTGAGTGGTACAGTACAGCGTGGCATGCAGTGGGTCAAACGGTTCTCTCAAGGGGAAATTGGATTTTGCCCATAGCTTGTATCGTTGCCAGAGTGTTGAGGCTGTATTACCATGCTCTGGATCCGTCAGTACTTGAAGCCAGTAGATATCGATAGGTGTCTTCAGATCTTCTGCGACATCTGGTGAGAGATACAATATCTGTGCATGCTTGTTTTTCTCCCAAGACCGTATTAGTTGCAATGTTTCAGGCTTGTTCATGAGTTTGTATCCTTCAGGGTAGAAGAATAGGGAGAAGGACAACTTGCACATCAGTTCACGGCCACACAGAGAGATGCCACAGTTTGGTAGATACAAAAAAGAGTGATGAAGTGATGGTGTGATTTTACTTCCAATGGAACAGTAAATGGTTTGCTTTCAGGTTTCCCCACACAGCCAGAGATGGACATTGATTCAGAGGACAGTGGAAACTTGTGTGTGATGCATGACACAGTTGCACCAGAGTCGACCATGAACTTGATCTCTCGTCCATTCACCTCGAGGACCACCATTGGCTCACTCCGCCAGTTGTGGAGTGAGTGGCTCTCTTGCTGTTGGCCCCGTCAATAAGAGCCTCCAGGCCCATCCTGGTACTGTGTGTACGAGTTTCCACGCATACTCATGTTTTGTTCAGGCGGGGGTGGGGGCTGTGGCATGTCATTGGGCGTCCACATCTGCTGCTGTCCGTTGTAGGGTCCGGAGAATTGCGGTTGGTTTCGTCGCCGGCCATTAAATTGGTTCCGGGGTGGGTTCTCGTACCACTTGTTAGGGCATGTGTTTGCCAGTGTCCATATTGGTGGCATATCAAGCATTGATCTCCAGATATTTTACGATTGCCTCTTTGTCCTTGAAATCCTCTCCCTCTACTCCTTCCTCTGGAGTTCCCCCTGTATCCTCTCTGAGCCGGTCTCTGTGTCAAAAGGAGCTTTACAACGTCCACCATCTGTTCAGCTTGCTCTTTTCCTTTTTGATTCTGGTCATTGTCCTCAACATTGACCTGTGATCCGTCCACTCCAACTTTCATCACATTTGCGGCCTTGTTTTTACTCTTTTGTGCTTCCACCTCTTCTTTAAGTTTCTTGTTTTGTAGCTTGATGTTAGACACCTCCACTTTTTGTGGTTTTCTTTATTATTCTCTCTTTCATTTCGATAGAGGGTCACATAGTGGTTGCAGTTTTTATCAAAGTCTTCTTCGGTCAGTGTGTACAGTCCAACAACATGAGAAAGACTTTGTTGTACTGATTTTGGCATTCCTTTGACCATTGTGTTGAACAGGATGAATGTACTTGTTGTTCCTGGTTGCACTGCTTCCCCAGTTGCATCATAGAATAAGGCCTTGGCTCTGCGCTTGTACTCAAAGTACTCTTCATCTTCTTTCATCTTCAGCGAAAGTAATTCTTCTGGAACGCATGTTTGAAACATTTCTCTCAGAATTGACAGCAGCGGTCCTTTCATGGTGGTAAAGGACAGGGTATGGTTGAATGGTCCAATGCGTTTTGTTAGCTCCGCCCGTACTTTCTTGGTAGTGGCTTCATCAGTATTTCTGGTGATTATAGAAGAGACGTCTCCCCAGCACAATATTTCACCAGCTGTGTGCGTCGTCAGTGCCCTCATAAATGCAGGTGCTCCTTTTGTCAGCTTTGGCAATTTCAGCATTAGTCCTTCAATGTCTTTTAATGCAAATGGCTGATACACTTGCTGGCGACCCGCAGCCTCTCTTAGTGGAAAGAGAGAGGTTGTTGCTCTTCCCGCTTCATCTTCTTCTAGCAGTGAGTGATTTGGGTCAAAAAATGGGTTGACATGCCCACTCACGAAGGCTCCCTCATGCTGTTGGTCTTCGACCAGGCCGGTAAACTCCCCTGCAACATAGTGGTCTCTTGTCTCTGGACGGAAGGGGTCGTGGCCTGTCCTCAGTCGGTTCTCTATGCCTCTTCTTATATGCATTTCACGACTGGTTTGGGTGTGCTTTGGTTCTTTGTCCATTAAACAAATGAGTTCTTCTTTTTCTTTGTTCATGTTTTGCATTGTCTTGGTCTTTGACTTCCTCCATATTTCTTCTTCTTTTTTCCGCAGTTGAGGAATCCCCACTTCTTCATGTTCATCTTCTTCAGAGGTTTGGTTGTGAACACTTTGTGCTTGTTGACTGACCAGTGCTGTCAGTGTCTTGACTTGTTTCGCTAGTTCTTGCACATTGCAGTTAATCTGTCAGAATTCCCCCGCTCCAGAAGCTGCAGAGAGGCCGCAAACACAGCAGCCCGTTTCGTTCTGCAGGTCCTTTTAGTTTAACAAGAGACAAAACCAATATTAAACAGTAAATAGAAATGACAGATACCAAACCTGATTTCAAAAGGTTATATTGAAGATTTGCAAGCAATATTACAATATTAACGGTCTGCGAACACAAATCTCGCTTCGCGTTCAAGATAAGGAGTGGCCTCGGGGACGTCTCACTGCTCCTTGTCAGAAGAAAAAGCCCCCGTGACTGCTCCTGTACATCTTTTATACTTTACATCCAAGGTCACTGACATCACAGATTTGTGGACTCTATGACTTCTTCTGGCCAGCTGCCAAAACCTGCACCTGCTTGATAACAACTACAGTTTTTCTCACTTTTCATACATAACTGCTACTATTCCGAAATAATAACCTTGACCTAACTTGCTCTTTGAAATAATTTACACAAACAAGTGCTTTCTAAACCTAATCATTCTGAAGTTGTTTAAGTATTAATTTAGCAGCAGAAACAATACTAAACTGATTTTAGTTTTCAACTGGTGCAGGAGGCCTTTAATATTCCAACAGTCTCCCTGTTGGCCGGAGAGGAACTCTTCGGACATCCATCACTCTTGTCCCAGATGGCCCATCTTCATCAGTTGATCCAGCATTACATCCTATACTCAGTCTAATCCCAGTCTTCACGACGATCTGTGAACTCCTAAACCACCCCATGTGACATTATGAAAAATGTGGTGGTCTTCCACTCAGCCCTTACTTCAGACCCCCCCAAAGGCCTCTGGGCGGACTGAGCATCCAACTCACCCTAAACTACATACATACATTGAAGTGATCCTATAAAACAATCTATATGTGGGTGTGCTGCGGTGTCTAGTCTGTGTAGCAAAAACAATAGTTGCAAGAGCTGTGGAGAAAGAATATGTTTGTGTCGTGCATCAATTTGAATTATGTAATTTTTTATTTTAATTTTTAATTTTTATAATTTTTTTATCGCATCCCCGATTTTCCCAAGTCCCTCTTACAATTTTGCAAGGTTATGTGCGTTATTTACATGCAAGCAGTTATACATTTTTGATTAAAATATTTTGATAATATCATAAAGCATACTCACAACTCTCCCCCCTTGGACTGCCACCTTAACGTGGTGGGGGAGTTTGAGCACTCGGATGATCCTGGGAGCTATGCTGTCTGGGGCTTCATGCCCCTGGTAGGGTCTCCCATGGCAGACAGGTCTCAAGTGACGAGTCAGACGAAGCGCAGTCCGAAGCCAACCATGGACAGCACGACAACAAAAACCGTGACGTCGCCCGGCATGGCGCAGCCGGGGCCCCACCCTGGAGCCAGGCCTGGGGTCGGGGCTCGCAAGCGAGCGCCTGGTGGCCGGGCCTTAGCCCACGGGGCCCGGCCGGGCTCAGCCCGAATGGACGACGTGGGCAGTCCCTCCTGTGGGCTCACCACCTGCAAAGGGGTCCGTGGTGGCGAGGTGCAGAGAGGACTGGGCAGCAGTCGAAGGCGGAGACCTCGACGACCCAGTCCACACACCCAACATCTGGCTCTTGGGACGTGGAACGTCACCTCACTGGGGGGGAAGGAGCCCGAGCTTGTGGGGGAGGTTGAGCGATACCGACTAGAGATAGTCGGCCTCACCTCCACACACAGCTTGGGCTCTGGAACCCAACTCCTTGAGAGGGGTTGGACGCTCCACTTTTCTGGTGTTTCCCGCGGGGAGAGGCGGCGAGCTGGGGTGGCCATACTCATTGCCCCCCATCTCAGCCGCCACGTGTTGGAGTTCTCCCCGGTGAATGAGAGGGTCGCGTCCCTCCGCCTCCGGGTGGGGGACAAGTCTCTCACTGTTGTGACGGCCTACGGGCCTAACGGTAGTGCAGAGTACCCGGCCTTCTTGGAGTCCTTGGGAGGGGTACTGGACAGTGCACCGCCCGGGGACTCCGTTATTCTCCTGGGGGACTTCAACGCCCATGTGGGAAATGCCAGTGACACTTGGAGAGGGGTGATCGGGAAGAGCGGCCCCCCTGATCTGAACCCGAGCGGTGTTCAGTTGTTGGACTTCTGTGCCAGTCACGGCCTGTCCATCACGAACACCATGTTCGAGCACAAGGGTGTCCATCAGTGCACGTGGCACCAGGACACCCTAGGCCGGAGGTCGATGATCGACTTTGTAGTCGTATCATCTGACCTTCGACCGCGTGTCTCGGACACTCGGGTGAAGAGAGGGGCGGAGCTGTCAACCGATCATCACCTGGTCGTGAGTTGGATCCGCTGGCAGGGCAGGAAGCCGGTCAGACCTGGCAGGCCCAAGCGTGTAGTGAGGGTTTGCTGGGAACGTCTCGCTGAGCCCCCTGTCAGACGGACTTTCAACTCACACCTCCGGGAGAGCTTCTCCCAGGTCCCGGCAGAGGAGGGGGACATGGAGTCCGAGTGGACCATGTTCTCTGCCTCAATCGCCGATGCGGCGGCTCGTAGCTGTGTGGTCGCAAGGTCTCTGGTGCTGGTCCCGGCGGCAATCCCCGAACCCGGTGGTGGACACCGGCAGTAAGGGATGCTGTCAGGCTGAAGAAGGAGTCCTATCGAGCAATGATGGTTCGGGGGACTCCTGAGGCAGCTGTCCAGTACCGGCAGGCCAAGCGTGCTGCGACCCGGGCTGTTGCAGAGGCAAAAACCCGGGACTGGGAGGAGTTCGGAGAGTCCATGGAGCATGACTATCGGTCGGCCTCGAAGAGATTCTGGCAAACCGTCCGGCGCCTCAGGAGGGGGAAGCAGTTCTTTGCCAACACCGTGTATGGTGCGGGTGGAGGGCTGCTGACCTCGACTGGGGATATTGTCGGGCGGTGGAAGGAATACTTCGAGGTTCTCCTCAATCCCCCCGTCACGTCCCCCGTCCAGGAGGCAGAGGCTGAGGATGTTGGGGCGGATACATCCATCTCCCTGGCTGAGGTCACCAAGGTGGTTGGTAGCTTCCATGGTGGCAAGGCACCGGGAGTGGACGAGATCCGTCCTGACTATCTAAAGTCTCTGGATGTTGTAGGACTGTCTTGGCTGACACGTCTCTGCAACATCGCGTGGCGATCGGGGGCAGTGCCAATGGAGTGGCAGACCGGGGTGGTGGTCCCTCTCTACAAGAAGGGGGACCGGAGGGTGTGTTCCAATTATCGTGGGATCACACTCCTCAGCCTCCCCGGTAAGGTCTACTCCAAGGTACTGGAGAGGAGGCTACGGCCGATGGTCGAATCTCGGATCCAGGAGGGGCAGTGTGGTTTTCGTCCCGGTCGCGGAACACTGGACCAGCTCTATACTCTCCATCGGATACTCGAGGGTTCATGGGAGTTCGCCCAACCTGTCCACATGTGCTTTGTGGATTTGGAGAAGGCGTTCGACCGCGTTCCCCGGGGTGTCCTTTGGGGGGTTCTCCGGGAGTACGGGGTCGGGGTCCTCTGCTGAGGGCTGTTCGATCCCTGTATGACCGGAGCCAGAGCTGTGTTCGCATTGCTGGCAGTAAGTCAGACCTGTTCCCGGTGCATGTTGGCCTCCGCCAAGGCTGCCCTTTGTCACCGGTTCTGTT